CCTATATGCTGGGCTCCGAGTGGCAGTTTGACATCACTGACCTTGTGGCTGATTTCATGAAGGTGGAAGAACCCAGGATTGCTAAACTTCAAGATGGCCGAGTTCTGGTTGGTCGTGAGCACGGCATCACCACGGTTCAGGTACAGCCCATGATGTATCTGTAGATTCCACAGAGGGAGTTCTGGGTGCACACAGAAAACTAATTGTTTTCAGGAAAAAAAAGTAATAAGCTGGTAAGAACATAAAAGGAAGTTTGAGCGGATTTTCATAACTTCTGTAAAATACGTGTAGGTGAATCCTGATGGAATTTATCCACATTAATGTGACAAGCAACACAGTGAGATTTTCTGAACAGTGAAGCGGGTTCCATGCTGCACATACCCAGCTCCTTTTAAGTGGGACCTTGTGAACTTAACTGCTGGGGAGTTTTACCAAAGACGTACATGCATCTTCATCTGCTTAAATGTATTTGAAAAATTAGTCCCATTATGTTCACAAAATGGACACAAAAATAATCTTCAGAAATCTTTCAGTGCTCATGATCATCACTGCCTGTCTCTCTGTCTAACTTCATACATTTTTTAGTCAAACTACAGGAATACAAGCACTGGTGCTCTTCTTAACTGCAAACATCCATAATGTTCCAGTCACACTAGGTTTCCTTTATAGTCAGCACAAAGGAACAGGTACTTCTAGAGCTCAGCTCCTTTCAGCCTAAAACAAACATCACAGAGAGGTCAAGGGATTTCTGCCCTTAAAAAGCATCTTTCACTCCAGTGACTACAAGAGAGCAGCAGGCAGCAAGCTCCGATGCAGGGAGCTGCACTGGGATTTCTCATGTTTAGCCAAATCACATCTCAAATATTTGGGGCTCGAATCAGCTGTTTCTGGCATCAGCAGAAAGACGACCGTCTCTTTCTAAGCATGTTAGACACAAGGTCTTAGAACAAACTGATAGGACAATGTTGGCTTTGAAAAATGCAGATGGGCACCCAGTGGGATTTTCAAAGTCCTCTTTCATTTAATTCAGGTCCTCTGTCCCTACAAAGGCATCAGGCCAAGTTCCTATCAATCGGCCAGGCTTTGTACACTTACTTATTCCCTTACTGGGTTTCAGCGTTAATCAGTGTCTTACACTATGCCTCATGCTAAACTGCATTCACAGGGAGCTTTATACCCCCAACAAAAATGACTTCTCTAAACCAAATCCATTTAATCTATACTCCATAGTGGAGGTGAAGTTGCAATTTTGAAATGACTGGTTATTTTATTAAATTATTTTTGTAACTAAAGTAATTTAGCAGCAAATAAGTGTAAAGTCCTGGGGGGAACATCGATTATAGCTTATACATGGATGTGACAACCCCAAGATTAATACAAAGTACTGGGCCGATCACAGTCTAATGTTACTTTAAAGCAGTTAGTTGCTGTTTCAGGCAAGATATTTGCTTTGTCTTTCCAGGTTCTGTCACCTCTTTCCGATTCCATCCTGGCAGAGAAGACAGTGATCGTTCTAGATGACCGTGTAACCATTATAGATCTAGGCGTACAACTAGTCTCAGGCTTGTCCATCTCCTTACAAATCAGCAAAGGAAGCAAGAGAGCTATCGTTTCTACCACCTCTGCATATGATATTCTTCATACTCTGAAACAGGTATGATCCAAAATAGTATCTAGAATTATTTTTTTTTATCTTTTTCATTGTATTTATCATAGAATTGAGACTCTAGATCACTACAGAAAGTGTAACTATCTTTTTAACACTAGCAATCTGCAGTAAGAAGACTTGCTCTGGTCAAAACATCCTTTTAAACATGGTATTTTTGCAAGTGTTTCTTAGTTCCCAGAAAAGGCTATAATCACTTTTGTGTATTTTGTGTAATCTGTATTTGAAAGTGATGACAGAAAATTCAGAATACAGCATTCCAACACATAACAGCTCTGCATGTTGTATTAAAACTGGCATTAGAACTGCAGTACTACAGAAATTCCCTATTGTAAGTCCTTTATAAAATCAATTAACCAGGACTTTGGAAATATTCATTATTTGGATTATTTTCACCACGAGGCTCTGGCATTCAAAAGAACCTACATATTTGTCATCACCTTTTATTACATTTAGATGGCTGTCTTTGGTAGTTCCTGAAAATGAGAGAAATGCCCGAGTAAGCGGTCCAGAGAACACAAATCTGTAAGAAGAAAATGAGGAGCAAAGCAGATGTTTTCTTTTTGACAAAAATCCTACAAACCAATGTTAAACTGTGTAATTATTTTGCCAGTGTCAAACAGACCTAAATATTCGAGTGCCTGATCTGTGCTCTCTTACCTGTCTCTTAACTTCCCCATGTTTTGCCTTCTCCCTGTAGGAAGCCATAGTCAGTGCGTGGATTCTGTTCAGCGATGGGTCAGTGACACCTTTAGATATCTATGACTCCAAGGACTTCTCCATCACCGTCACCTCACTGGATGAGATGGTAGTGTCTACACACCAAAACCTCCAGTCCAGATGGCCTGTGGTGGTGGCAGAAGGGGATGGGCAAGGACCTCTGATTAAAATTGAAATGGTCATCAGTGAGCCATGCCAGAAGACTAAGCGGAAGAGCATTCTGGCTGTTGGGAAAGGAAACGTCAAAGTGAAGTTTGGTCAAAAAGATTCTGACCAAAAAGGAAGCACTAATGACATTGATGATACAGATAAAGATTTTAAAAGCCATGCAATCAATTCTATAGAGAAACCTGCTGAACAAGAGAGGACAGTACAAGAGTGGTTCAAAAACCACGAGGACATGTCCAGTCATGAGGACAATGCAAACAAAAGCACAACTTTCGTATATCCCATTGATCAGGAGTCCCTGGAGGATGGCCAGCTCCAAAATAACCCAACCGCCTTCACAGGTTTCCCTGTGCAAGTAGAAATACCAGGAGAAAACAATCCCAGTGATCTCACATTGACTTCAAGAGGATTAACAGATTTGGAGATTGGCATGTATGCTCTGCTGTGTGTTTTCTGCTTAGCAATCTTGGTCTTCTTGATAAACTGTGTGGCATTTGCTTGGAAGTACAGGCATAAAAGGTTTGCTGTGAGTGAGCAAGGCAATATCCCCCATTCCCATGATTGGGTCTGGCTTGGAAATGAGGTTGAACTGCTGGAAAACACAGTTGACATTTCGCTCCCGTCAGAGGAGTGCACTACCATGATTGACAGAGGAATGCAGTTTGAAGAAAGCAACTTTCTCCTTAACGGGAGCTCTCAGAAGACTCTTCATAATCATATCCTCAGATCTTCTGAGTACCTTTGTGAAAAAGAAGTTAAAAGTGAACCTATAAATCCTTCTGGGCCAAAGCAGAAGCGAGTAAAGTTCACTTCATATACAACGATACTGCCAGAGGATGGAGGCCCCTACACCAATTCAATTCTATTTGACAGTGATGATAATATTAAATGGGTATGCCAAGATATGAATCTTGGTGATTCCAAGGAACTTAGGGACTATATGGAAAGACTGCAAGACAATATGTAAAACTACTTTCTTATGTTTGTAATCACCTTTATGCCTTCTGTTTATGGATGGTGGAGCAGTCAGTCCAGTCAGCAATAGGAACAAGACAGCCCAACTTTGGAGTTACTGAGATGATAACCTGATATCACTGAGCAGGTACAAGAGGCTGGCTGAGTTAAACCTGTTTCACCACAAACCAGGATGTGCCCCTAAAACAGCTACCTGTAGGTGTTGGAGGTGTCACACACTATGGCTGTTTTTGTATACTGCCTGGTACTAGCAAAATGCTAATACAACTACGCTCAGACTCAGAGGAGACTTCATTGTTTGTCATCTCTCATGATAAATGGTAAATCAGAAAAGAAAGGGATACTTGTTTGCATTGATTTTTCTAGTTGTCGTCCTTTGTAAAGCACAGTAGACATTTCTTGCTTACAGCCTGAAATGAGGCTTACATTAAAAGGGATCGGAATGAATCTAATTTTATTGCCTATGTGCAATGCAGCCAAGTAGTCATCTTATTTTTTACAGCTATAAAACCCCCCATGTGGTTAATTTCTTTTCCTATTTTTTATGAATATTATTTGACTTACTTAGGAAACATTAAATATTTACTTTGGAGGTTTTTTTTTGGTTGTACCAAAGTGTAGTATGGTAATATTTATAATGATTTAAGTTTTCTATTCATCTGCATCAGCCCCTAGAGATACCTCTTTCATCACCGATTATCTTTCTCCTTTTCTTATGGGTATATGGGTCGTTAGTATTTGAAACACAGAAAGGTATTAGAACTCTTACTGGGAAAGGGTTGTATCTTCTTACAGGGAAATGTAAATACAATAATAAACCCTGGAAAATAAAAATCAAGGAGTAACCCTGGGTTTACTTTTGTCATTGCTATTGTGAAAAAGTAACCTACAACAAAACAGCACATGCTTCAAAGGAAAATGCTTTCCTGAAACAGCAGCTGGGTTGACAATAAACGTTATCCTCAGAATAAGAAAGTTACATGTGGCATCAAAATGCAGAGAATAGGAAGGATATTTCCTAGCAAGCAAAAGCCTGGAGTCAGTGTTGCTCTGCACTAATTAGAACACCAATTGTAGAGTTCAGCAGGACAAAGAAGTCCATGCTCAACAGTTAATGTCCAGACCTAGTCTAAAACATCTCTGACTGTAAAGACACTAAAAACTTTACACCGTTTTACTTCATTAAAGAAGGAAAGAAGGAAAGAAAAGACACACTGGGCACATTACAAAGTGACTGACTGTTCTGAAGTTTAACAAGGGAAATATGCTGGAGATTCAAAGCTCCATTTCATATGCATTACGTGTATTTTTGTACTGAAGGATGACTCAAATAAGTTGAAAATCACAGCTAGAAAAAAAATGAATCTACATAATACTCAACAAAAACAATAAAGCACATGTTCTTGTGATGGATCCTGTGCAATAAACACAAGATCCAAATTACAACTGCCTTACATAATTTAGCTCGTGACAGGATTTGAATTTTGTAATTCAGTTCTGCTATTAGAACAGACAAGACCACCTTAACCACGGGAAATCCTGCATTTGCAGCCTAATCCATAACTGGGAACAGGTTTAATGTAACTGCTGCAAAGTATGAGAATTTTAATGGTGAGTCTAGAAAGTGAGAACATCAGGCTTAGCTAAGTGATGAGAGACTTACGTTTGCTGGCATTGAACTGCATAGTGAGGGGATGGCATCTGTTATAATCTAATTTTAAGTAGAGAAAATAATAGAGCACAGAGATACTTCTGTTTCATAAGGGATGCAGCACTTGTGCATCAAATGAAGTCTTGGGTTGTTTAACAAATGTTCCCTTCTCCTTAAATGATCCAGACCTCATAAGGAAATATTAATTCCTACTATGAACCTTATTACTACCAACATAAAAATCCCTTTTTAGAGTTTAACATCTCTTTCCATCACGTTATTTTGTATGTGGCCCAAGCATAAAGCAAGAGTATTATCTGCACAATAGTAAGTAAGTGAGTATAAATCAACCACAAATAAGTTTAGTCTGGAAATCAGAGGGAACAGCTTGCTGATAGCAGTTGCAGAGGGCAAACAGCAGAGCTATTTTCCTGAGCACATACCATCAGTTCACCAGTGGAACTGTGATCTCACAGCAGTGTACTGGACTCCATGCCCTGTTTCTGCACTGTGGCTCAGTACACCTGCGGATGCTGACCTCTTCTTGTCAGTGCCACAGAGGCACACAATAAATGGATGCCTTTGTCAGTGTGCTGAGCTGCTCTTTGACTCATTAACAGCCAATGGAAACCAACAACTTTATTTACGTGGTCAGGAAATTCTCAAGGACTGTGACTTTGAGAGACTGAAGATCATCGCTAAGTCAGAGTGCTCACCACTGCCACACGGGTGTGTCCTTGAACTTGTACCTGAGGCTTAACCCCTGCTTGTACCTACCAGTGGCTGTACATTCAGGCTGCACACTTAAGTATGTGGGGGAAGGACAGCCCTGTGTGCAGCATGGTCATTGCTAGAAGCCACCAGAATCTGTAAACAAGGAGAAAAAAATCTGCAACTGCAGCTCATATAGCCTTTCTTTTTTGGTTTGGTTTTTTTTTACATCACATGTTGGGACATGCAAGTTCTTACATGGAAAACGGCAATACAAAAAACCAAAAGAAGTGAGAATTCTGTTCTCAGTAATTACACCAGTAAAGCAGAGCTATTCTGGACTTACACTGCTTTAAGCACTTTGCTACTTCTTATAAAATTGAAAAGAATTTAGATGAATAGATTCAATACAAAATATGGTTCGGAGCTGATCAGTCCTTTAAAAATTAAATAGCTTTAATTTCAAAATTGTGACATACTTTAAGTAAATTTAATTTAAATTTAAATTATTTTAAACACCCCCACAGTTTTCTGATTCACCTGAACTTTTTTCAATTCCTCTTTTAAAATCAAGTATTTTATTCATGGAATATATAATATTTCTTTTTGCTGTTAAATGAACAGCACTTAACATCAATAAAAGATTCTGTGCTTTTGAGAGTACAAAGCAAAGGCTGCCACATATGATCAACAGGCGCCATGTGTGTGTATGTATGTATGCAGGAAACTAGGACTGTCTGAGAGAGCAAAGCCAAACTACACTGACAGATTAATTAGTAGTATGCTTCAGTAGGTGCCCAGAAGAGCAACACCTGTAATTTACTGCTGAACAAACCCAGCACGTCTAGAGAAGATGCTGTGCGCCAGCTGTTGAGGAAGGACAGCGCGCACTGTCAGCACACAGACCAGGAGACACCCAGGCAAAGAGTGGATTAATGGAACACGGCGAGTTTGCAGACCTTAAAAATAAAGCTGATGCCAGACGTCACCTCTCGTAACGAGAGTGAGTGATTTATGGCAGTGGCATAAAAGAACAGAGAAGCCAGTAATTCTCACCTGTGCAGAAAGTTTTCTTTCTGTTGGCCATCACGCACAGCCCAGCTCCATGTGACTTGTCTCTACCTTCTTCCCCAGTCAAGCAAGAACTTACTTAGGAAACCAGGGCCCTCTTCTCCTCTTGATGTAGAACCACAGAGATTAACGTTTTGAGCTGCTGTTTCTTAATTCATACTGGGGAACGTACAAGAAAATCTTACAGCCATACAACACAGTACAAACAGTCCATTATTCAATGGAACCCCTGTATTTCAAGGTAGAGTACCCTATGAGTGAAATAACTTTTTATAGCGGATATGCTCTTTTCTGAAATATAAATCATGTGCACTACATTGAAATACACTACAGTGTATTGTGAAATGCATACATTAACTGCTGAATCTATAACACTGAATATGTATATACATCACACCCAAGGTATTTATACAATATAATAAGTCTTAGATGTATAACATAATGAATTCTGTTCAAAATAAACTGTAAGTTAAGACAATGAAAGAGAACTTTTATATCTGTGTAATTTGTATGCTGATTAAGTTATTCAAGCCTCAGTTTTCATCTTTAAATGTGCTCTTAAAAAATCCTTATTTTCTGTAGGCAGATGTCTGAAATAAAGACTTCACTCGTCAGTAAAGCAGCAACTGAAAGCCTGTGAAAGAAACAGATTCTGCTGGAGAAATAAATATAATGGTCATGGTTTTTTAACACTGACTAAACCATTCACCGTTTATACTGGTCAGGGTGATCTGCTGGTTGGGTGGAGGGAGATGTGTGCCTGCAGTGTGAAGTCAGTTGGCAGAATCACCAGCAGGTGGAATGCTCCTGTGCCTCCTTGCTCAAAGCAACACAAATCACCCGATTACACAGCCCAAGGATTTCCCCCAACCTTCCTGGCAACTGGTGTCCCAGCCCCCTCTTCCTGCAACGAGTGATCCCTTCCCAGCACCAAACGTAAGGAACAAATGACCTACTAAATGACCACTGGCTTGCAGAGAACAGCAGAGAGGCATCCCTGTTTTCAAAAGTAACAAATTTCAGGGGTCTGAATTTCCTTACCTTCCCATTAGTACCAGTCTCAAAATCATTAAGTGACCGCTGACCTCATCACAAGGGCTGTAGGACAGGAGCTTGCTAATGTCAAAATAGGAAATTGAGCCTCAGATTTTAGCTTTTGCTCAAGGTTTTGGAGGTGGTTGCAGAACCAGAAACACAAATTCTCCCAAAACCTCCCAGAGTGATTGGGCCTCCCACAGACAGCACTGTGCCAACATTCAGGAGGGGACTCCCATCTTTTGTCTGCTTGCAGCTGGGCCACGTTTGAGAGCTGACTGTACAATCTCACTGCAAAGGTATGGGCTGCTCTTGTGCTAGTGGGAGCCATTCAACATCACCTGAATGATTTAATGATCACTACTGTCATTTCTCAAGTATTGAGTTGTGGTTTTATATAAAGTCAATTAAATGAGTGGATTGAAAACTGTAATTTAGGAAATGCCTCAGAGTACCTAAACTTTAATGTGCATCACACACCAATTCCATTTGGTCACCACAACAGTAAAATAAGACACATTTTTCATAAAGGACACTCCTGTACTGCCAGTTATATTTGGTCCCTGTTTGACCCTTACAGTGACACTCTTCCCCTTAACAGTATCTGATTAAAGAGATGCCAGTAGATCTGCTTACACTGCCGTACTCTGTTTGGTGTAATGAAAGGGATCAGATGATGAGCTTTTACAGAAAAACAGTCTTTGCAGTTATATTTTACACACACACACACACACACACACACACACACACACACACAAACTGTTCAAAACAACTACTGTATGTGTAAATTTTAACTACCTCTGTGTGTGTGCTATGTAATGGAAAATAATTACCTGCATTCACCTGGGAAAAAAACAGCCCAACAAATACAGCTTTTTTTCCTCCCAAAAAAGTCAGCCCTCAGGATTTGGCAGGCAGAAGGCCCACACAGTGATATTTGCCACAAATTAAACAGGCCACATCCCGGAGGCTGTCTCAGCTGAAACTCCCACTGGTCTTGTTAGGAGCTGGACTGAGGCAGGACCAGACAATCGCCAAGTCAGGTCTGGAGCCTGAGAGGTTGGCAATGTCCTCATGTCACACAAACTGGACCCAATTGGTAGTGCCTCCAGCCAGTACCAAGCAGGCCACATGACACATTGCAGTACGTGATATTCATGGAGCTGAAGCTATTAATTCTACACTGTCCCAAATCTACCCTGAAATCTTATCCTTGAGTTATTTCCTGTGCTGAAATAGCACAAGAGCAGAAGTTACAGTATGCTGTGAGCAGGAGATACTCTTGGTCCCACTGGAATCGTGATGGCTTTAACTACGATCAGGATTCTCTGGTATTCCAGGTATCACTACCAGGCAAACCGAAGCCCACAGCAGTTGTAATGCCCAAAACCTGACCCAACCTGTTCTATGTATAAAAATCCTATGTATAAAAAAGTCCTCCTGATTATTGTTCCAGACTTCCTTTTCTCTGAGTACATGTGCCGGTGGACATTAGAGTGTCTGTATTACCATGTACTTTGTTCATACAGTGAAACTAGTACTGTGTAAAATGGATTTTTTTAGGTTTTGCTTTTTTAGACAGTTCTAGCTTAAAATGGAAAAAAGTCCATTAAAATGCATACTAATTCTTCTTGGGAAGGGATCCATACATTATGCACACCACACTGATCTAGATATCAGATGAAACACACCATCTAGTGTGGATTAATACACTGTCTACTGTGGATTTATGTCAGACCTTACCTCTGAACTGAAGCTTATTTTATAGTTGAAGTTCATGGTCTGTAATCTTTGCAGTGATTCTCTCATCATAGCAAACACCACCTATCATGGAAGGTGCTTAAAAACCCAGAAGCTTGAGTTAATTGTATCTTCTTTAAAAAGAATAAACAAACAGAAACCTAAACCCCCCATAACAGAAGCTGCTCTCTGAAAAAGCACGAGGTGGCATTACTGTTCATTAGGAATTAGTAACTTATTAAAACATTCAAAAAATTACAACATACATAAAAAGATGTCACTGCAGGCTATAAATCAGCCTTTCACTTGGGGTAAAATACTACTTCTTCCATGAAAAATAAATTTTGACAATTACTTTTATTTCCAATAGCTAGATTAAGAGCATGTTATATTATCAGTTTAATTCTCTTCCGGTATACAGTGAGAGGTCAGAGTCAATACCCAGAGAAGCAGACAAACTATGTAAAAAGCCACCTACCTAATGCAAGGAAATTGAACTACAGAACTAATAACTCTTTGCCTAATCATAGCTAAGCATTTGTTAATGTTTCCCCTTGGTTTATTTAAGCTGGGTATAGGTATCTCTTTTAATTCCAGGGACAGTAGATAAGACATTGATACCACTTAATACTATGCTACATATGTATGTAGCATACATGCATACATATGGCACCACTACTAGTATGTAGCTGATAGCACCAAATCGGCCAATTTAAGTGAAAATGTTGCAGGATTTTTAAAAAGAAAAAGATTAAAAAAAAATTCAAATCACTTACTTCCAACAGCCTGATTTACAGACAGCTTACAAGAATGTCAGTTACAAGAATCTCTTTCTAGGGGAGTTTAGCAAGGACTGAAGAGATTGATACAAACCAAGCAAAATTAAGAACTTTATCCAAAGCCAGAGGATGTTAATTCCATTGACATCAATTGCTGACTAGAAGGGGTCAGCTGGAATCCCACCCACTCTGCTGTAAGCACTTCAGGCCACTGAAGAGGAAAGACACACTGGTACTGCTGCCCCCTGACCTTACCTAAACCTGCCTGCAGAACAAGAGAAGGGGGCTGCACAAATGGCAAACACAGACGTGCTGTGCTCTTTTTGACTCATAACCTTCCAAGCAGGAAAGGGGCAAGGGCTCAGCAGGAGCTGGAAGAAATCAGAGACTGCCCAAATACCGTGAGGTTGAAAACAGCCATCATACTGTGTATGCTGCTTGTGTTGACTCTCGGTTAGCTCTGGCCCACTGCAGAAGAGGGTTGCTCAAGTCCTTTTCTGGCTTTAAACCATCTCTAATGCATCACTCTAACTTAGCAAATAGTTTAAAAGCACCAAAGCACACATCACCAAAACACACGCTAGCAAAAGATTTCAGGCTTTTAGGGTTTATGCCAGAAGAAGCTGAGCATGTAACTTAAGCCATTTAATTTGCTGCCCTACAAAAGCTGCGTTGCTCTAGATAAGCTTTCTAAAAGCCAAAGTTTCTAAGGGCATTCCCTAATTTGAAAGGGTTCATCTTCCGGCACTTCTTTCTGTAGACCCCACCAGCAGAAAAGTATATTGAAAATGAAAAGCTGGCAGCTTACCTGATGGCAGCAGGGATGTAATGAGCCATTTCGGGATTCCCGATTACTTTTCAATGAGAAAGATGCTGATGTACTCCAAGATTCATGTGACCGCTCCACTGCTGGGACACTGTCCAAAGTGGCAGGGAGCTGAGTGTCCTTAGGGGGACGCGCCTGCGGGCAGAGGTGGATTTGAAGTACACCAGAAACTGGACAGTGACAACACAGGAGGAGAGAAAAACTTCACAGAAAGCGCAGGAGCCTGATGTGCTGGTGAGGAGTTTGCACATCAGTAACAAAGTATAAACCAGCCAGCCCTTTGCTTAACAAGTTTATCATACACCCAGGAGCCACTGTGGCATTCCTGAGACAACAGCTTCCACTTTCAACTAAGCTTCATTTAAATAAGAATACTTGACATAGTATTTCTGAAGGCAAACACGGATCAAAGCAAGGATTTTGCTGTATGTTCAGCTGCTATTTGACTGTGCTACCTTTTTTTTTTTCACTGCAGTTCACGTTGTTATGCTCTTGGTCATTGTAACTTGGTCACTGTAAGGAAATGCTAGTGATCTGACTCAGCACTGTGTGTACCGGCAATCCAAATAATGGAAGTATGATTTTGCCAATGTAATACAGTTTGTAAGTAACTAGTTCCTTTCACTTGCCAGAAGGTGATGGAATGTCCCTACCCAGAGTCATACCAGTGTTTGGGGCTGCCTTTTGCCTTCATTTTCTGACATTTTGAAACATGAAAATTTTGAAACTACTTCATATAAAACCTTGGAGCCACTCAATCTGGCCATAAATTTGGACTCATTCTTAGAATTATGTTTATGTTCACAGGCTCTTTTTTTAGCAAGGATACAGGAGTCTCTATTATAGAAGAATCACAGAATGGTTTGGGTTGGAAGGGACCTTACATTAGATCATCTAGTTCCAACCCCAAAGAAGTTGTCCCCCCACCCTTAGGACCTGAGCTGGCCTCTAGCAAACAACGCTCTTTGTATTAAAAATTCAAGCCAGATAGGAAAAAGGCTAGTATGACTCACATTTAAATGCCCTGGATCTGCAGGTCACATAGATGTGAAGTGTTTCTGCAGTTGGCAATTTTCATGGGTTAAGAAAATATTCTACCATCTTTGCTGGAAATCCCTTTCATGAAAGGTAACATCACGTAGCACTCTATTTTTTTCCTGCCAAGAAAGGAAAAATAGGGGTTAGAATCACTGAGGTAGCCACATCAGTACAGACACTGGGAATAGTTGGCATTTTCTCAGTTACATCATCACACAGTCTCTAAATGATGCATCACGCCATTATCTGCACACTGTAAAAGAGAAAAGAGAGGAAGAGATTCACAGCTTGCTTCTTTTTTTCATGAATGGGGCAAATGTGTTAGTAGTGTGCCAGATCTCCTAATTACTTAAAACTGTAAGCTTTTAGCTGAATCTATTTCTGCCTGGTTTCATCTCTTTTAACACTGCTTTTATGCAGAGGTTGTCTTTACCAGAGACTTTATGCAGAGACTTGTCTTTGCAGTCAGGGAAAAAAAAGTCCCAACAAAAGACATTGCAGTTGTGTTTCTACACTGCAGCAGCCCCGAGAAACGCAGCAGTGATGGACCCTTCTGCTGTTCAGAAAGAGCACACAGGCAGGGAGAAACACAGCAGATACCAGAGTCTTGTCTCCTTGAACAGTGTTAACAACAGTCTCCAGACTCGGCTGAGACTGAGGCCCCAGTAAAAAGCTACTCAGATTTTCAAATCGTCTTTGGCATTTACATACGTTTTGACATCTCTTACAGTACCCAAATACCTTCAACAATCTTTTAAGGAGGAAGAAGACTAAATCTTCCTGAAAGCTAACAGGGCTTGTTCCCAGGTGCCCCTGGGTAACATGCTCCAAAACATCATAAATGATTTAAGACCTTGACCTACCAGCCAGGCAGCACTGACTTAGTCAAATTTGCAGGCTTTTTGCTTAAGTATTACACCAAGAAAAGCTTATGAGAGCCACAACAACAGATACCTGTCACTCACTTTGCCACTTACACTGAGAAGCATTTGGTTCAACTACTTTGCTATTGAGCAGTATTAGTTTTGTTCCCTTTCCAGCAAAAGAGGGCACTTGTCCATACACCTAAATTAGAAAACACATGCTCTGTCATTTCTATTGTAGTCATAACTTAGCGATCCATTAAATATGAACCAGTTCACTGAACAGAGAAACTAAAACGATGAACAAACTCCCAAATTAGTAAAAAAAATAATAAAAATAATGCTTTGGGCAACAGCTTTTTATTTTTAACTCCCAACTCAATGAATGCATCCAATTAGTTTCAAAACCATGCATCTGCTTCTTCCTTCTCTTTTGGAGCAGAGATGCCTTTCCAAAGAGTGGAAAAGCTACTTAGCACTGGGAAGACCAAATCTGGAGTAATTTTTTCAGTTCTGGATGCCCCCTGTAAGAAAGACATGGACATACTGGAGCAGGACCAGTGAATGGCCACTATGATGATTAAGAGACTGCAACAATTGACACGTGAGGCCAGTCTCAGAGCTGGCACTGCTCAGCCTTGAGAAGTCTCAGTCTCTTGGGGGCAATCATAATGTCCATAAGCGCTGGATGGAAAGGAACAAAGAAGATGGACCCAAATTATTCTTCAGACTTTTCAGTGAAGGGACAAAAGGCAAAGGGCACTAACTGAAATACAGAAAAAAAAAAAAAGAGGTAGTAAACACCTGACACTCAGGTATGTCACAGACAGGGGAGAACTGTGCTTTGCTGTGTCCCTAATGAACCAAACACACTGTAAGGAACAAACAACTAGGAGTAACCCAAACTATGGAAAGGAAAATGTCACTGCAAGAGCCCTGGCCAACATTACCTGCTATACATCTTGATAGCTATTATTAACTGTGTAACCAACAAGTGCTTAGTACAGAGGGAGTTTTGTGCAATGTAACACAATTTAAGATTGTTTCCTGAATTACCATCTAGTACTAACAGGCAATGTACAGACACATGGAGACAAGAAACCTCACAGAAGCTAGGGAGTGAATGCAATACTGAGCGAGAGCTCAATACATCTCACACTGTGTCTGCAGGGAAAGGGGTTTTTTTAAGGTTAGCTGCACAGTGGTTCTGGTTAGGTCAAGGCTATGAAAGTGTGTGGGTGAAAATCCGCTGCACACTGGTACTGGGTAGGTCTAAATGCCTTTAAAGGTGTGCATTATGGTCCTGTTCTACTGTGTTTGAAAAATGTCAAAGTCACAGAGGCAACAGCAGGGTGGAAAGAGGAAGAGAGTAAAGGCATCATGATTAAGTGCTAGCCAATAGCCCCACAAGTTTTTTGAGTTCAATGCTAGTTCAGCCTCTGCAGAGACATCTGTGTCTGAGGACAGCTCTAACAAAGAATGGTATTTTGGAAGCCAGAAGAGCCTGGAGTCATGATGGTCTGAATATGACAGGTCTAAATAAAGCTGGCAGGACTTGTTTCTGCTCCCACAACTGCTCACCATGAAGGTACAACAGATAGCATCCCATACCGTTCACCCCTTCAGGAGTGCTGCATACAGAGCTCTCAAGCTGGTATGGCCTCCTTTTGACAGTGGCTTCCATGAAATGCTTTTTCCCCTCCCTCTGTAGATATGCACTACTGCCCAAGGGAGCAGAGCCCTGGCTGGCTGCAAACCATCTGTCTTCTCTTGGCTACAGATTTCCCGGCAGCAGCAGAGCAGGACCCAGATCAGACCACACTGCTTGGTTGGGTCCTCATGGCATGTTCTGACTGTCTGATTTAAGATGTTACAGAAAGGGCTATTTTTAGTGACACATTTTGTGCATTTGCCTCCTACAGAGGCCGTCTACATTTGGTGCTTCACTGACCCTGTTCTAATGTTGGATGCACCTTGGATGTCCCCCTCTCCTTTGGTGTAATTTTAGGATAAATTAGAGGAGATGATATACAGTGAGTTTTGCATCCCTTTGCAAACACATATCATCTGAGTGGAGCTGCAATGTGCCATTGACAGATTATTTTCTGAGTGGTTCCTATTTTTGTGTATGCCATACTCAGGTGTCGGCATGTCCTGGCACACTTGAAAAGGTAAGCAGCACTTTTTGCCATCTTCTCTAGGTATTTCTGGACTGGTTTTGTTGAGATAAGAAGGTCTTTTTCTAGCCCCTTCACTTTTCTTCTTCAGATACTGTAAGAGGCATAGCAACTTTACTAATTTATTTGCAGAAACCATTGAAGATTGCATTTACTGTGATCAAATCCCCTTAAGTAAAATATAAACCACTACTTCTCTGACTGTAAAGCCTAAATCAATAATGGACATGAAATCATCAAGTTTAATCTCAAACACAGTGAACCCAAGTAATCACTCTTCTTGATATAAAACTAATTCTGTTTGACAATAAAATACTACTATTCTGTGCCATAAACCAATGGAACAAATAACTTTCTTAACCCTGACAGTTGCTGTCCAGAATCATTACATCTCCTCTCCTTAGTGATCAAACATGTCACTATACTACCGCTTCAGCTCAATTCCCCTTCTAGAAAGCACACCACCTGCACCAGAACTTTGAAAGTATTTCCTGTTAAGAAAAGTATTACAGTATCTCCTCTTCTTCCTATTTGCCAAAACAACACAGGTTGTACAAGAAACACACAAACAACACTGAAGATATTCCTTGGCATACGGCTAGATTGTTTCTCAAGGCTAAGTGTCAGCGATGAATGAATCTGAGCCCCAGATGCAGGTATCACAAAACCCATAATCAACAGCAGTGAGGCTGAGGTTTCTTACAAATGTGCATCAACATAATTTTTCCAAGAACTGCACATTCCCCTCCTATGCTGGCAAAAAATGACTCAGAATTTGGAGGGGTCTGCCACATGGGATGCTTTGTAGGCTGGTGCCTAAAATGCTGCAGCATTCGTTAGTACACAGGAGACTGAAACACATGCCAACACCCAGCCCAGCACATATGGATGTCTGCAGGCACGTGTTAAGAATACCTGGCCATATTCTTGTCATGTTTCTCTTAATTAGAGCTCCTTGTGTAGTCTTGACACCAAGCCCATAAATTCCTGATGTCATTGATAAATAATACACCTGACAACCAAGACACAAAAGCTGCCTCAGCTGCCCATACACTCCAAAGCCTGCCGTTACAGAAAACTGAGCCTTGTAATCTTTAGGGTGATAGGCAACTAAAAACCAAAACACTATTACTCCAGAAAACAGGAGTATTATCTAAGTAATAACTTGACCTTGCAATAAAATGGAGGGCAGGCCAGCAGAGTGGGAAGAAGGACCAACTGAGCAGATGCACCCAGCCAAGGCTACAGAGAGAGCTTCTCTGCTGCAGCTTTGCAGGGGATGGTAGGGTAAGTAATAATATATATGTAATAATGTACTCCCAGGTGTTTGCTAGAGAAAAGCCGACTCTTTGCCAGATCACGTCACATGCATCAATAGAAAAGTAGAGGATATAAACAGTTCTATTCCTTGAATTTCCTTGCTCTAGAGTCACTGAATCAGGAGTCTTGTTATTATTAATTAACTTTGCATCACTGAAGTGTTGCTGCATTGAAGAAGCTTCTCAAAAACGTGCATTTTTTAAGAAGCAAATATGCACCAGCATCTCAATCATTTAAAATAATGAGAGGGACCACACTCCTTTTAACTGTTAGCATTTAACCACTGGGTTGTCTATATACAGTCACAAATCAAATCAGGAAGACTATCTGAAACAAGATCTGCAGGTCTTCTCACCAGTGCGTACTGGTTCCCAGTTGCAACTGGAAGAAATTATGTGATAATCATCTTATGAAATCTCAAATTTTGGTAACGTCTTCCATGCTTGCAATACTATTTTAAAGCACGAAGCCATGACACACTTTTTAGAGTAGAAGAAATGTCCGATTTCTTTTTCCCACTACTGGGAGAATAGCTCACATTCAGATCAGCACTAGATAGGTCCTTCAGTTTCCCAAGCTTTCAAAGCTCTGGATTTTCAAGAGGCTCTGCTTACATTCAGACATCACAGGAGTGTAGAGCTAATTCAAGCAGCTGTGATTTACCTGTCTAGCATAGAGTCCCTGCTCTTGAAATCTTCACTCAGGGGGTTATTATTTTTGTCAAAACTCTTCCAGTGAATAAACTCCACATAATAACAGCCAGGCCAAAGAGCAGAGTCTGATCCAAGTCAAATCTATTCCCATACAAGTCTATGAAAACCTGATTATCTCACTGCTGAAATTCTGGGGTGGAAGTTAGCGAACAAGAGCCAGGGGCTGTTATCATCTTGTTAACGTCAAAGCTTGATTTCTTCCCCATCCTTTCAGTATTTCTGAAAATGCACACCCTCTCAGAGTCCTTGATAACAGTTTGGTAGCTCTCAAGCTGAGAAGTTTTAATATTCTGTGGCTTTGTTTTTTTTCCTATTTTTTTAATGGAAAAAATTATTCAATATGGTCATTTTATTGTGAAAGGAGGAGCAGGAACATGTGCTATTTGTGTGCAAAAGACATGTTCCCAGTAAGTGTTGTAATTTCATAATTATAAATTTTGGGGGGTAACTAAGAGGAATGAATTGCTTTCAAACAGAATGGGCTTTACATTCTGTACAGGTAGGATTTGTTAATTTCATTTGTTGCTTGGGCCTTGATATTTAGGTTTACGAAGATCTTAAAAACGGAACAATCAAAAGTCTAATCCCTTGTCAGAGAAAAAAAAGAATGCCTGTTTTTTTACACTTGCAAATATATTCAGTGATAGTGTAGATGTATAATTATAAAGATTCTGAAAGATCATGAATTTAGTATTTTAAACAACATGCCAGATTTTAAATGACAATTACGGCTTTCTATGGTTCAAGAATCAGCATGCTGTTTCTCTTCTGTTGGAGAAATATTCATCAGCACCACGATGGCATTCTGGCAGTAATTACTTCGAGCTTAGTCAGAAATAGATTTCCAGTATTACCTACCACAAATGATGCAGCGACCTGTCTGGCACTGAGGTAGAGCTTGATCCCTCTTCCTTCAAAAATCATCCTTCCCCCCCCACCCCCCACCCCGTTTTTATTGCCTTCACTGGACTGCTCCTCACAAGGCTGGGTACATTTGCAGTTTGGGCAGGTGGAACAATGCAGTCCTGCCACTAGTACTTCCCTGTGTCCAGGAGAGCATTTGTCCTACCAGGCAGCCATCTGGGGAAGGGAACGACAGAAAGGGAAGCGGGGATTACTTTTCCCATAGGCGCACTGAGCTCCATATTGAACTGGAAGCATGTTTTCCAGCTTCCCAACATGTTCGTGTTTTATAACAGGACAGAATCAGGCTGGTAAGACACCTACTTGACAATATTCAAACACCCTGGTGATAAAAATGCTCATGTCTGCAGTGGGAGACCTAGACTAAAGGACTGTTTTTGAAGTGGAGCTCTTGACTTTTACCTGATTCTCCTGAGAATCCGTCTGTTCTACTTGCACCAGACAGTGATTCTTCTCAGCTGTGCCACTGTCTACTTGAGAAACCTTTCCCAACAAAAGATTAATCAAAAGTGTGTGTCCCTGTAAATCCCAGTGTGTTTTCACAGACAGTTCTAAAGAAAATGACCAAGACAAGCTGCAATGTTATTTCTCCACAAGTGCAGCAGGAAGCTCCAATTCTGTTTTCTATAGAGCAACAAGCTCTTTGACTATATTCTTTTCCCAAATTGCTATCTGCCCTAGTCTGAACTGTCACAGCACACTACACACTGTTTTATACCATGCCCAGTCAGAAAATCTGATGTTTCTTTGGTGCTTTTAATTACTGGTGTTGATAAATGCAATAAGTTCTAGTGGGTGTAAATTACACACAGATCTGTAAACAAATGGTATGGTTACTATACACAGTCTATCACTGTCAGCCACAACTTGCTCTCATGAGAGCAGAAAAAACTTAGAAGTACTCAGCCCTTAGGAATGGTGTATATTTGCTCATTCATATGGATCAGCAAACCATCTGTGTTTGTGTCAAATAGGCCAAGTAAAAAAAGGGAAAAGTCTCCCCAGCTCCCAGGTGATGTTTCTACACCTGAAAAAGGCTGGTTTGTTTAAGCAAAATGTTCCATCTAACACTACAATCACAATGAAATTTCACTGAAAAATACTTGAAAGGAAATGTTTTAATTAGGTTTCCTTCAGAGATGGGAAGAAAACACGTTTAAAGGTCTTTTAGAAATTAAGGTTTTATTTTGATTTCTGAGTCTCAAATGGAGGTTTCCTATTCTCCTCCTTCACCTCAATAAAATTCTTGGGAGATATTTTGAACAGAAATCTCTAAACCACGTGGGTTTTTCCACTTCAGAGTGAAATCAACATGGGATTGTCTGAATTTCCTGAAAAGCCCAAATTCCGAGTTTCAGCTAATGTTAAAAGCCATTCTAGATACGGAGCCAAATACAAAGCCTGCTGTAACCCTGCCATGGTAACTGAACTGCTCCAAGAGTAGCCTTGACTCTGTTTCCTCATCAACTGCAAGAAACTAGGGTCTGGGCCACTGTGGTTGGAATATGACAGAAGATACCTGCATGAAAAAACTGCCAGGACCTTCACCCCATATTTTAGGCATGATATAAAGAGGCTGTGCAGGTTCCCCACCTGTGATTAAGTGGATTCGAGCACCTGCTGAAAGCTTTGCTCAAAACAGGATAAATTTTTAATCCCTCCAAATTGACTCTGCAGCTGTAGAAGGTTTCTCTTTCTTTTGTAAAATATTGATAAGGTGGGAGCAATATTCTGCAGGGAGAAAAGATCAGCATTAAAAGCTAAATCTCTATCTCCTAAGCAGCTAACATTTTTTATGGGAGTTGTTCATGGATTATTCTTAATGGTTTATCTTCAAAATGTCTGTGTTGGCTATTTTTCCTGATGAGTATCCTGACTTTCCATGGCCATGATGGGAGTCATCTTGTGCACTTTGAAAGGCTATGACAATGTAGGCAAAACACATTGTGAACATCTTGCGACACAGATCGCAAAGTTAATAACAAGCTCTGCTTTCCTCCACCTTAAATCCAACATGCTAATTTTAAATTTCTCCTAAAGGGAAACTTTTCCCCTCTGATTTGTATTTTCTGCTAACCCACTCCCTTTCTAGGGTCTACATGGCCACGAAACAGAGCAGCCCAGACATAACAAAGCACCTCAGAGGAATTTAACTAGTGTTTTCCAGTGGTCCAGGAAAGTTTAATCTAAGTCTTTATCCTAATCAGAACCTGCAGAGATTTTTTTTAAATCTTCTCCTCATAATTATTGTTCACAGTTAATACCACAGCAGTACCCAGAATATAGCTAGTTGAGTATTTTCCAACAAAATGCATTTTCAGAAAGTAAAGCAATAGAAATTGCAGCTTAAAATGAGATCAGATTGGCTTTGATGGGTTTTATGAGAAGGCTGGCCAAGCCTGGGATGGAATTTCTGGTCAAAACACAGAGCAAAAGCACAACCTGACTGAGGTACGCAGTAAGGAACCAGCCTCTGCCCTGAAGTACTGTCATCCCTGTCTCATAACCAGAGAACAAGCCGAGCGATATGTGGTCATACGCAGAGTTTCAGCCACAAAGGACTAAACTCAGAACTTCAGGACCTTGTCCAATGTCTTTCACATGAAATCATCATTCAAATGCCTTTTAGGTGACCGGCTGTCTAGTACAAGGTCATACCATAAACTGCAAACAACCCTACAGATGAAACCATGGATCACTTGTTTCTAGTTTAGTTATCTGTTACACGCTCTTTTACAGTCAGATTTCTTCTGCTTTTATTACTTTGTCAAACAACACACTTTTTTCTTTAAAACAAGTTTCTTTTCCCTCTGGTGTAACAATTAATGGTATTTGAAAAGATCACAGATGGGTGAACAGGCTTGGAGAAACCAAAAAACAACCTCTACCAAAATGTCCAAAATGTGTGAAGCGATCCTGTCTATCTGATGTTAGATAAAAATGCAAGTACTCACATTTCCAAACTAGAGCTTGTTAGAATTTTTAATTAAAAACATGAGAAACTTTTTGCTGTCTGTACACTTGTTAAAATATTTCAAAATGTCATCTCTGAATTATCAGATTATCCTCAAAACTTAACCCTTCTCAGCTGCTTAATTTTCATCCATTCCAATGTTTTTCATGTTTCCATAACATAAAATTACTTGTCATTTAAATTGTACTTATCATTTATGTTTTTAGGCTGAGCTACTGAGAAACTCTGTGTATGCTGCTGAAGCAGTTCTCACTGAAGAAATGTAGAGAAGGATCAAGCACAGATCCATTCACTTTTTTTCCTGTCAGAACTAGTTTTCCAATGGAAAATTCAGTTTCAAGCAATAGCCAATTTCTGCAGAAAAAGTTGTTTTCTCACTGAAAAGCTGAACCATCAAAACACACTGTATTTTGATTCTGAAATACTGCAATTACGCTCTATGAGAACTGTATTCATTTGCCTTTTTTCTATTCTCCTCTACGACTCCTGGCCTACATCTTCCAGGATGTGGCACAGACACTTGGCAGACAATTCATTACCTATGTTATGGTGAAGAACATTGTAGGATGTAAAGCCTGACCCTGGAACAAACACTACAGAGAGTGGCAAATTAGGACAAGATGCAATGCCTATGAGAAATCAACACTGCAATAACATACATAAAGTTATATACATATATAAGTAAAACTAATCTAAGTAATACAGAGAAAATTCATTATTTCAACCTTTCACTGAAAATTTCATACCTGCAAAGGAAGATAAATTCCACTTTGTGACTGAACCCAGGTAAAGATTCTGTTTATAATGCTGAATTTAATCCTTCCTTAACTCAGGAGTAAATTCAGGACCAGAATTCTGCAATGAGATTGTTTTGGGTGTATTTCCATTGCATGTTCATGCTCTGAATTCTCAATCTGGTTCCTGCCACTACTGAAGACTTAAATCTGACTTTTGAATACCCCACTTTCTGACACTTGCCAGTCCCTCAAGGGCCAGCTTGTGCAGATGACTTCTAACCCAGACATATATGCTGTTTAAATGCCCCTGAGCCACTTCATCTAACGTTGCAACTACCCTCCCTTCTGACACTGTCATAGGTATATGTGGAACTTTCCCTACTCCCCATCTGCTGTCACCTACGTTTATAACTGAGCAAAAGAATTTCTCACTCTTAGCCCTACTATGCTTCCACCTCACAACTTCTCAAGTTTAAGCAGTGAGAAAATAATGTGAAACTGAGAAAATTTCTTGAGAGTTTTATTAATTGTTAACAGGTAGCTGAAAATGAGCATACCAATGGCTGTGCTGCAGATGATGAGAATTAACATTTCACCAAGTATTAAAAAAGACTGATACTAAGTCTAAGACCTACTCTAAGAGAGAGTCGTAGTTATTAAAAACATCCTACTATGAGACATAATCCAATACAATTCCAAGTCTTTTTCACTGCCTCTTTTGATTAATTCTGGGTATAATGCTATAATAGCTTGAGCTAATCTAAACATGGATGGGAAGCCATACCACAAAATCTAATTTTTGTTAGGTTAGTTTTCAGCTGAATCAACCCTCTACAGCTCACTTTATACACACAAGGGACTACACAACCAGGGGCAGGAAAGCAGCCTCCATCACTCGGTTTTAGCTGCCATGTAACCACAACTTGGAATTTACCAGTTCCCTTCCCTTCTACTTCTGGTTGCATAACAGCAGACCTTTTGATGTAGGACTATACTCTGAGAAGCATTTAAACTGTTACTGTTAAATTGGCCTGTCTGCTAGCAGAAGTGTCTAGGGTAGCAGGAATACTGCCAAAACATCATGATGTTGCAGCAAAACACTAACAACATTTATCCAAGACTTGTAAATCACACTGCAAAGATCACAGTAAGTTTACTAAATGATAAACTTCTTGTTAGAGCTGCACTAGCAACTCTATTTCAGGCAGAAAATACTAGGGCCAGCCAATCTGGGAGCTATGGTTTTAGACCAGGTCTCCGGTCTTATTCATATGGTATCAATGGACATATCCTCTTGCTCCACAAAGAAAAAGGTAGGAAAAGCCTCCTACTCAGCAGTGTATTAGGGAAAAATGCAAATATATGAACAGTTGTCACCTACTGAAAGGAACATTTTATTTTACCCTGGGCCAGGTGAGTGTATTTCTCAGCAGGCTCCACGTATTGGCTCTGATGTTAAAAGTTCCTGCGTTGGAATGACTGGGGTACAGAAGTACTTTGTTCTTCTGTAACACCCGATCCTTTGGCTTCACCACTGTCTGAGTCCAAACCTTTCTTTCCAAACCCTGCGTGGGCCAAAGGAGAGCAATTTCATTCAGATCTAGGTCTCTGTTATAACACTGCTGCTTCCCTCAGTGAGAGGATTGAGCCGTTTCCCTCAGCTGACCCTGGTCCAAATGGGACTGTAATTGGAATCAGAAAAAGGAACATTCAGCTGCAGTTAGCCGTGTGTTAATTATTAAAGGCTAAAGGGCTCCACAGTTATTAATATTACAGTGTGAATTTCTCTCCCTCATTTGGGGAAGAGAGGGGGCTCTGCAGTGCTGTTTAAGAATTGACAGAGGTAGTAACACAGTTTTGGTTCTTTCACTACTGTTGACACAGTCACCAAAGTAACCGTGTCAAACAAAAGCAAAAAAGAATGTGCTTCTCTTTATTGCTGAGCTTCCTCAAAGAGTCCACTGCAGCACTTACAAGAACAAAAGCACAGCTGTGTATCCCTGGAGGGAATGTAGAAATTGTGGTCTTCCTCTGGGATATCTAGAGGTCCTTCTGTATGCCTTGGTCTGAAAAAAAACATTTATGTACATACTTACTTTGAATATCTCTATGGAATTTCTCTTGACCTAATTAGGTATTTTGATTTCAGTGAGATGACTGCATATGCTTAAGTAATTTTGTATGGTGTTGCAGCAGTTGTGCCATGCAATCCAGAGAGACACAGGATGCTCATAATGGCTTGTATGGCCGTTATTAATTTCCAATTAGAAAACAAGCATATTTAGGGATAAATATTCTCGATTCTCTAGCCAACAACCCTGTCACCAGTTTTATTTTCTTAGGGCCCCTGTGTATGTCACTCCAAATCCTACTCTCTGCTCAGAGAAGCTGTAGCAGCGATAACTTGACATGAAGTGGGCAGAATCTGAGAAGTCTGTAATAACTGCAGTAAGTTTTGCATATGGCAGAAGGAAGAAGCTGGGCTTTCTCCAAGAAGACTGTATGAGAAGTCACTATAAATAACTTACCCTGTCTGTGTAGAACAAACCCATGTTTTGCACATTTGCCATAACAAACAAGTCAAGTCATATATGTATAAATAGCATTTCTTTTTCTTTTGGAAGACAGAAAAAGGGAAGGTGTTCCCTCTCCATTTCACTGAATTCTCTTTCTCTCTGTCTCCCAGTTTCTGCACTGCCTTTAGTCATTCTGTAAACACCCATCACTCTATCACTACACTAACTTATAGAGACAGGGAGCTGCTCCTAGTTGGACCTCACCAATTGGTTATTTTGAAAAACCCAATAACTACCTAGATTATAGCCCTATGTTAGCACCATTTCTTGCCCTCAATAGCTTACAAAGACCCCAAGGGATGTTGCCACCTGCCTGACACCACACAGTAATAATGACCTACTGTTGGAGCAGGATTGAGATGTGCCTGTGTAGTGCGTGTTCTGCTGGGTAGCAGTGTCAACTCACATGGCACCAAGAGACAGCAGCTCAAAATATGCTCCCTGGTCAAGAAGACCCATTCAGAGCAAGTCAAAATTCAAACCTTCAAAATGTATCTTTTGCCCCACATTGAGAGTCAAAGATGATGTTTTCCCTGGGACAGCATCTGAAAGGCTTTTAAAATTATTACTTTTAAAAATACCAAAATGTTTCTTTTTTCCTCCAAAGTAAATCCATTTAATCCTTGAGAGTCATGAGGACAAAAACCTATAAAATTAAGAAGGCTA